AAGGATCATCCCCACCCGGAGCGCAGCCACCCGGGGCGCCCCATCTCCGAAGGTGCCAGCCTTTGAGACTTGGCACTTCGGGGTACCTTGAAAGGTAATGGTGAAACCCTTTGCCCTTTTAGAATGCAAATGTCCCCAGGGCTGCCTCAACTCAGAACCCATGGGAGTTTGCCTTAGGGAAGGACTGACTGGGTTTCCTTAGCTGTAAACAAACAAACAAACAAACAAACGGTGGAGGCCCTGGTGAAACCCAGGTCTATTGCCAGAATTCGGAATATTTCGAATTTTGGAAAATTTTCCCAGTGCAACCCTAGCTGGATTGGCTCAGTGTCAGCCTGCGGACTGAAAGGATTGCAGGCTTGATCCCCAGTAGGGGGGAAGCAGCTAATCAAGGATTCTCTCTCATCATTGATATTTCTCTCTCTCTGCCCCTCTCCCTTCCTCTCTGAAATCAATAAAAATATATTTTAAAAAATATTTTCCCAGTGCATATACGGTGTATTACTTAACAGTCAGTGGTGGGTGAAACTGCCGTGTGTGTGTGTGTGTGTGTGTGTGTGTGTGTGTGTGTGTGTTAAGAGATTTTTGTGTGTGTGTGTGTGTGTGTGTGTGTGTTAAGCATTTTAATATTTCCTCAAGCAAAGGCGTGGACGTTCACTATAAGTGGAATAAAGTAGGACAGAAAAGTGTGCCTCATTAAGCCAGATCCGGTTTTGTAACAAATGGTTCCAAACTGTGGGGAAACTCAGTTTCCAGAGCTGTGGGGACTTGGGAATTGCAGATAAAGGATCTCGGACGTGGAATAAACCTCTTGGCAGTGACGGGAATTGGACTGCAGTGGTGCACAGGCCAAGAGGAAACAGGGCCCGGTGAGCATCTGCTCAGTCAACGGGGGCAAACACTATGAATAGTGTTCAAGCTCAGGGTGTGTCTGATACTCTGTTCTGCAATCCTAGGGAAGTCTGCTTTTCCGGTTCTGAGGCAAGGGGCTCCTCAGCCCAGCCCTCGATTAAGAATGGAAAAGGAACAGGAGTTTTATTGCTGGGGGCTTGGCCAAGATGGGGAGAAGGCTCTTGGGGTGCCAGGCTGGGTGACAAGGCTGACAGCATTTGGAGAGTGTGTTGCCCTGAGCAAGTAATTTCTCCTGATTCAGCCTGGGTTTCTGCATGTGAGACAGGCACCTGGTTAGGTGTGCTGGGAGCACACTCTCTAGACTGGACATTGGTTTTTATTTTCAGCTCATTTGAGAAGGAGAGAGCTGTGGCTGGAAGGCCAGGATAGTTCAACCGAAGGGCTTTCACGCTCTCCTTCCCTTAGGCTCTGGTCCCTCAAAACCAAAGAAGGGATCCCCTCTTTCAGCCCTAAGGAAGCCCTGTGAAAGAGTGATTGGATAGCAGAAGGGGTGGATGAAGAATACTTTCCTAGGTGTCAGTGTGTGCTTTCCAACTGGGTGAAGACTGAAGACATGCTTGAGTTTCTAGAACATAACATACTCTGCTCTTCATCGGGACCTTTGCACCTGATGTTCCTGCTGCTGTCAACGCACTTGTCCAAGTTCTTTATACATCTCGCTTCCGGTCATTCAGGTATCAGCACAAGTGTTATGTCTTCAAAGAGGCCAGCAACCCACCATAATTACCTTCCCCAACATAACCTCCTTTTGCTGTCTTTATAACTCTCCCTTCTTTCTGATATTATTCATTTTCTTGACTGTTCTGACATGTCTACCCCCAGTACACCAACTACACAGGGATTAAAATCTTTATGTTTTCCCCCCAGCATCTCCCCAGTGCCTATCACACACAGCACAAGGTAAACAGTTGGAGTCCATTAGTACTTGTCAAATACAGGTGAGATTAAGGCTTGGGAATCAGGCCTTCATTAGATCTCGGTTAGACAACCCCTCCCTCAGCCATATATAGTCTTTGGGTCTCACTTCCCTCCCCTATGAAATAGGCATATCATATAGATGTGTAACCTGATGGATACAGAAGAAGCCAGTAGCCCGGGATAGGGTAAGTAAATGGTGGCTTGGGTTACTATTATTAGTCTCCTGAGCTGGGCTCAGGAGGCCTTTCCTTATGTCTGTAGAGCCATACCTAACCCAGCTCTGAGTCAGGGGCAGCGCACGCCCCCACAATGTCTACAGTGCTCACCATTCAAGGGTTTAGATCTTCACCGCTTTATACCCCAACTCCCAGCTTGGCTTTACAGGCCCTCCTCGCCTCCCCAGCTTCCCTCTTTGTTGGGGAGATGGGGCCAAGTGTTCAGGATGTGGTAACAGCGAAGGTGACTGGCCACTTCTGGCCTCAACCAGCGCCGGCTTTGGGGCTACCCAGCTCGGAGTCCCGCTGGCCATGGAAGCCTGGGCTTTAGGGCTCTCTTCCCAGGATGGAGGAACTGGCCTCTCCCAGGCTCGGGGAACGCCCAGCGTTTGGCATGTGCACACAAGCCCGGCTGCAGTTCGTCGCCATCTAGGGAAGAGGGGGGCGTAGCGCAAAGGTTCTAACAGCTTTTTTTAGCTGGGCCCGCTGACTCACACCTTCCCCGCCCCGCCCTGCCCCGCCCCAAAGGGGCCCAGGGCCCCAGCCCTGGCTGTGAAAGTGTCAGGCCGGAAGTGAGAGACCGCAGGTCCTGGTGAAGGAAGCCACCCAGCTCCTAGCCCTGCTATCCGGCCCGCCTTGGAGAGTCTGGGTGATTCAGGGCCAGGGCTGTGGGTAGACTGGTGTACTCTCGCCACAACAGGCCCACCTCTGCATTCCCCACACCACGCGCAATAATTATATGAGCCCTGAACACCTCCGAGAAGGTGACATCAATGAGTGGACTGAGAAACAGGAGTTGGCGAAGGGATATGGAACCCAGCCAGGCCGAGGACCGGCAGAAGCAGAGACCCCTCTAGAGGCATGAAAGGAACAGTACTTGTCAGTGGTTGCAAGAAGAAGCCTTTCTCACCTCGGGATTGACCCTCCCCCCTCCTTTACCGGGTGGACTGGGGAGCCCCACCCCGCTTAGAGCACCTGGCAAGTCAAGACAGAGCGGACCGATTTATTACCTCCCCCGCCCGAAACAAGAAGCGCAGGCTGGCAGTGAGGGAGGGCCATACCACTGACACCGCGAGGGGAACTCGGGCTGGTCGACTGAACAGCAGGAGGGGGGACGAGGCCAAGTGGCAGTTCTGCTGGCGATGCTAGTGCGCAGCGCGCGGAGCCCGCGGGATCCAGGTGGGGCAGTACCAAGTGAGCAGGCAGCCGTCAGATATGCTCAGTGCCTCCGCCTTCCAGCTGCCATCTCCAGGGCCAGCTGCGTGGCCGCCGGGACACCTAGAGCCCGCGAGAGCCGTTCCTCGCTCGGCACCAGCCAGGGTCCCGGGGAACCGGGGGATCGGTCGTCTGGGTCCTGCATGCGGCGCTCCAGAGGAACCGCAAGGCCGTCCCCTGCCCCCTCTGGGCTGGGCTCCAGGCTGGGCCGGGTCTTGGGCGTTGTACGGGATTGAGGGTGATCAAGTGGGGAAGCGCTGGCGCTAGGAGACCTCGTAGCCTCTGGTCCCCCAGGATCTGGGCTGCGATCTGGGAATAGTAGGAATGCAGATTAGATTAGGGGTGGGGGGGGTTGTATAGAGAGTTGGCCCCTTGCCCGAAGGTGGCCAGAAGACTCCAAATGCTGAGACAGAGACCCCGCCCCTTGTAAAAACCTTCCATCAAGGCCTGGACAGGTCCTTCAGGAACAGACACTACCCCTCAGGACACACAGCACCTCCTTTCCAGAAACCCTGCCTCTCCTGGATCCAGAACTCCTCAACCCTCAGAAATCATTTCCCACAACCCCCAAAGGAAGTCAAACCCCCATCTAAGTCCCTAAAGTCTCCCACTGCACAACCCACCTCCCTCTACTCCCAACCCTTCCCCTTATGAGCCCTTGTCTTTAGGAACTAGGTCCCCTACCCTCTGCATCGCCCTCCCATCCCCTTCCCACTCAGCCTTCCCCTCCAAGGGCCACGCTTCCTTCCAAACACCTGCTTTTCACCCAAACCCCTTCCTTCTTCCCCCCTCTCAGTACCTTCTCATCCTGGTACCCTCCCCTCCTCACCCCCACTTTTGAGGATGCCATGACCCCCTCACAGACACCAAACTCCCAACCTTCCCCACTGAGACCACCAAACCCTTCTCACCCAGTACCCCAGCCCCTCCATTCTGTGACCCTCTCCTTCCCTTTACAGATCCCAGATCCCTCTCCCCTGGGAAACCCACCATCTCCTTTCCGGGGTCCTCCCCCCCTCTCAGGCTTGCTGGGGTGGGTCTCAAGAGGCCTGCTCAGCACCAGGTGCAGCCGGGGGCCACCACTGCGAATCCGCTCCACGACCTGGGCGTGAGTGAGACCCTGAGTTGACTCTCCGTTGACTTGAAGCACGAGGTCACCAGCCTGTAAGAGTACAAGGTGAGGGGTGTTGTAGGAAGGGCAGGTGGAGAGCACCCTGACCAAGAAAGAGGGCGGGCTCACCTTCAAGCGACCGCAGCGCTGTGCTGGCCCATCCTTCAGCAGCCCCCGCACTGCCAGGGGAGTGTCCCTGGCCGCATCTCGGCCTCCACTCAGCGTGAGGCCAAAGCCTGCAGAACCGCGAACCAGCTCCACACAGAACGGACCAGAGGCCTGGGGCGACTTTGAAGCATAACGTGGCTTAATCTGAGTCACTTGGGGTGGCCCAGTGGATGTTCCCAAGGTCTCTGACCGACGATGCTAGAGTAAGGACAGGAGTGTACATACGTTGCCAGTCTCCAGGCAGGTGGCCTGGATTAGGAGGACTAGGTGGTACCTGGGGTCGGTGTTCCACGAAAGTGGGATTAGGCAGGCGACTGTCCGTGACCTCTATGTCTGCAGAATCCAGATCGCTAATGTCTGGGGGATGAATGGAGGGAATCCAGGGTTGAACTCCATGTAAACTGTCTAGGTCCTGCCCGGTGAGTTACCATTCTAGCCTCATCTCATTGACTTGCCTCTGGACTGCACAGACAGGATTGCCTGCCCATTTAACTAGTCTCCACAGACTCAAATAACTGTCCTGACCCTGATTTAATAATCCCAGCCCTGGCTATTTGAATCATTCCCCACACCTTCCTACCTCCTTCTAATTACACTGGGACCTTGCACCTCATATAAACCATAGGCCCACCTTGGGGGGTGCAACTCCAGGATTTGACTCCTGAACGTTCCAGGCTCCACCCTCTAATAGCCTATAAATCTCAACCAATTCCTGACATTTTGAGATCCCAGCTACAATGCATTTATAGGCTCCACCCTCTACACCAGTATTCCAGGCCCGCCCTTAACTTGGTGCTCGCTCTCCACCTTCTCCAGGCCCTGCTTCCTCAGGAATGACATTCAAAGCCTCCCTGATGGGGATCCTCACACCCTCAACTAATCTTCCAACACTCACCTACTGCCTTAACCCTCCCAGTGTCACCTCCTAGGAATATTCTAGGATAATCCAAGGCCCCGCGCCCTCGAATATCCCTCCAAGACCTGTCCTCCTAACTCACACCAGCTCCCGGGAGCCCAGCTCCAGTCCG